TCTTCCTCCTGGAAAGAATAATTGATAGTTTTTCAGATCACAATCAATATCATTTCAGATTTCAGTATCCTTTGCAGTCTGCACCATTGCACTATTTTCTGTCTACAAATGTGTTGATTTAGTGATTCTGATTCTGATTCTTTGGGCCTGAGGGAACTTTACTTCACCTGACCGATATAACTGGACCACATCTTTTCTCTCCTCAATGTGCCAGTCAAGCAGACTTCATTGTAGTTTACCAGTGAGATATTCAAACCCCAGATGCCACATTCTATAGCAATGATGTATCATACATGGCTTATGTATTGTTTTACACAAATAACTTGCAACAAAGCTACCAACATACACATAATATGTATGTATGTATATAAGATATACATATATCCCATACTTCAATCTATTTCAGCCCACATAGTACGTGGAACTGAAGAAATTACAAAGCACAAAAACACATCAAGGTGAATCTTCAGCACCATGGACAGTTCTTCTTTTGTACTTCACTGCAAGATTAAAAACAACACATTTTAAAGGGCCTGCACACCCATACACTGTATTCAGTTATTTTGGCTGAAGAGATCTCTGCACAGGTTGAAGCTGGGCTAAGATATGTTTGAGGTTTTATGATTTCACCCTACTCTGTGGGCTTATAAGCATGAAAAAGCTACAAGTTGTTCTGCTCCGACAAGTAAAGAGTGAGATGTTAATCAAGGACAGTCTGTAGAAAGTAACAGTTAAACCTTTTATTCAGGTAAAATAAGTGAAAACACCTAAATATGTAGGTGAAGTTTGGGTGTGTACTGTCTTTAATTTTATTAAATAAAATGCATTTTAGTGGTTTTTAAAATCACCTATTGAACTACACCCTTCAACCATAGCTGAACATTAGCTATCTCAGCTAACTCACCGTAAAACAATCAGGATGGATAAAAATAGCACTACAGGTAAGAGGAAAAATATGTATTTTTGGGGTGAGCTGGCCCTTTAAAGCTGCAGTAGGTAACTTTTATAAAAAATAACTTTTTTCAAAAATCTTTACGATATCCTGACAGTAGAACATGAGACAGATAATCTGGGGGAAAAATCTGTTCAGTTTGGCTTTTCCTAGTGCTCCTAATGGTACAAGGAAGATAAGTGATTGTTGAGTTTCATTGACTCAGTGTCAAATACAGTTGCTTTGGGACACTGGGAATTACTCAGCAATGAACAATCTTTCTTGGCTCTGATTGGTTGTTTTCATTTAGGCCCGGTGAATTCTTGCAAATGCTAAATTTTCACAAATTATCTGTCTCATGTCCTACTGTCAGAATATAGTGAAAGTTTGAGCAAATATGACACAGACAGATATTTTTCTAAAAATGATCTACTGCAGCTTTAAATTAATAAATTCTATAACATAACAAATAGGCAATACTAACAAATATAAACAACAAAACAATGATACTGGAAAACAAACATAAAAGATACACACAGATACACTGATGTTCTCGACAACAATGCTTTTCTGCTGTGGATTTTGTCCCCTGTCACTTGCTGTACACTGAAAGCATATAAGGAAGTGATCTTTTAATGGCCAGTATAAACAGGAGGAATGATTAACAGCAGGTAAAACTGTGTCAGTGTTCATTGTGGGTGCCTATTGTTATCTTTCCACTAGTCTGGAACAGAAGACAAAGGAAGCAAAATAGGCCAAAATTGTCACTCCAAACTGATATTAGAATCAACACAGGCACAGACAAGGATTACTATAATAGACAGATCCGATCAGCTAACAGTCTGTTAACATGACACTAAAAGTTGGCATCTCCTGGACACTCCCTGAGAAACACTCCTGGAGAGTTATAGTTACACAAATGACAGATGTATCTGGGTTGCAATTTCATCTGGAATCGTCTGCAGGGTGTAGTGCATGCTCTGTGAATAACTTTGAAACTGAATTGATTTTTAAATGGTATATAAAGATTTGACAATACATTAACCCAGTCTTGTTCTCCATTCAAATGTTGTAACTCCCATTTCCATAATGATAATGGCAATTGATTACTGCAGGATGTTTAATCTAATCTAATATTAGATAGGTGGCAAGAGAAGAATGTCAGGGTACTCCATAAGCTCTTAAATCAGATTGTGCAAGAACAAAATGTGAAGATATCCTGTTGGAAGTTTTTCCTACAAATGCTTCCTAGAAATGGAAGCTCCAGCTATCATTCATTGGATACAGGTCCTGAGAAAATCTGGCTTATAAGAATTTAGTAGCTAAAAACAACTGTCTGGTTGATCAGAACGTTGAGACTGAACCAAAACAAGAAGCTGAAAGAGGCTAAAAAAGGATCTGTAGAATGGAGGGGAACTACATAGTTGGTGATAATTCTCTGTGGACTCCTTTCACTTAATCATAGCCGTTTTCCTAAAACAAAGACCTACGCTATATGTGCTATAGAAATCTATGAAAATGATAATGTCTATGAATACAAAATATTTAGCATCAGTGTCAATAGGATATATAATAAGATATTATATGTTGTTACTAGAACCACCACTGGAGCTTACAGTACTGTAGAACTCGGGAAGCGACAGGGAGTCCAGTATAATTGGAATGAATAACTTGGCATGCTGATGGTTGGCTGGCAGAGACCCTGAACTCACCACCGGGCTATGAGGGGGGTTGTGATGTCTGCTGTTGGTAGGCAACAAAACCTCCCCGACACCCCCTGCCAGCAGTGTAATACAGTAGATGCTGTGTGGGAAACCAGAGATGACCCTGATCTTAACTGGGTGAAACTAGGCTCTACTTGTGTCAAAGACTGCCATACAAGTGTCCAACTCCACATCCCATACCAGTAAGAGCTGACAGTAATGTCGAAAAGAATCACGCAGAGAATAATTATTGTCAATGATTTTAGAACTACAGAACAACTGAGCTACGGGATCTTGACCTCTCTTCTCTATACTATACTTTCTTCTCCATGTGGCCCCTGGCATAGAAAGTTTGGCCTCCCCTGCAGTAGATGATCTGGCTATGGGGGAGAGTGAAGAGAGCGGAAGAAGTTCAAACTCTGCGCACTTTGACTCCTCCACACACCTGGCCTATCACTCTGTGAAGTGATTGTCAGGTTGTCCATTTTGGAAAATTACAAAAACTGTCCACCCCTTTTGCCCTTTTGCTCATTGACACTTCCTAAGTCCCACCCCTTTTTGCTCTGTGCTCCAAGAGTTGAGCAAGCCTCAATCAGAACCTCTGTCAACTTTCTCCTCTCCTGTACTTAGATAGGCTATATGCTAGGCTAATCTATGTAAAAAAAAAGACAACCACATTTTGAAGAAGGTCAAAAGATAAAAGTGACATATAGTCATATCTTCGAGTCAAGTGTGTAACATTTAAGAGGATTCTAGTGTCAGAATTGTCAGTGTTTTTGTCACCTTATTAGCCGCTTTTATCTACAGGTGCTGCAGGTCACCTTCTGTGTAGTCCACCATGTTGAACCACCATGTTTCTACAGTATCCCAGATAACATATCTAAAAATAATAAATATATATATATATATAGTTTATTTTTTAACCATATTCAAAATGTGGTTGTCTTTTCAACATAGACTAGCCTGGCACATAGCAAATCTAAGAACATGAGAAAGTTGACAGAGATTCTGACCAAGGATTGCTCAACTGTTATTGGAGCTTAGGGAGGGTTAATTGGAAAGCGGGGTTCAGACACTGAAGGGTGATCTGACTATACTTTGACAAATTACTACACAGCAAACCTGGAGCAGGGAATAATACAGGTAATCCACAGGGAGAGGATACAAAAGGGGGACCTAGTCTGGCTCTGCCACAGTGAAATACATTATATTATATCACATTATATAATAATCCTCAAACCAAAAATTATCTCAGCAAAAATTCTGAATTGCACATTAACATTTAAAAAGTAAACATAACCTTCCAGTTTTCAGTTTAATCCACATTCAATTCAATTCAATTCAATTCAATTTTATCTGTATAGCGCCAATTCATAACAGAAGTTATCTCAGGACACTTTTCAAATAGAGGGGCAGGTCTAGACCTGAAACTCCCTTTTAAACATTTAACAGAGACCGCAACAGTACCACCATGAGCAAGCACCTTGTGGCCGGACAGGGGCAAGGAAAAAAGCCCCCCTGTTAAAAGGCAGAAACACTAACGGACAGAACCGCTTATCGGCTCTAGGTGGGCGTGGTCATCTGCCTTGACGCAAGTTTTGGGGTGAGAGGGAAGAGGAAGAGAGACAGAGCAGACGCAACAACTACACCATACACTAGATAGAACATGAAGAAGATGATGACAACGACCGCAGCGGACAACGATAGGCAGCAAGCACGACAACAGCAACAACAGTAACTGTACGCATAATAATACTTATAAATAACTAATAAAATAACCAACAATAATATCAGTTGATTGATTAGCAATGGCCAGTACCCGGGAACCCCATGGCAGGAGGATCCCCACCCAAGGGTCCATTAGAACCTGCGAGACCGAGAAAAGCACAAGAACTCCGGGGAAAGAAAGTGAAAAGTATGCACCATGGGAAATCCCCCCCGATTCTAGGCGCTAAATAGCAGTCATAATAAGAGCATGGTTCAGGGAACCTCACCCTGATCCAGCCTAACTATCTTATCAAAGAGGAACGATGCTTAAGCCCTACTCTTAAATGTGGAGAGGGATGTCCTGCCTCCAGAACCCACAAGCTGGAAACTGGTTCGGCACCAGGAGAAGGAGCTTCCGTAACTGAAGGCTCTGGGCTCCTGTTCTATCTTTTTAGAGACTATAGAAACGCACAAGTAGCCTGCATTCTTCAGAGAAACGCCAGTGTTCTAGAAGGGGTAATAGGGTACTATGAGCCTTCTTTTAAGATATGAAAGGGGCCCTGAACGGACTGAAGAGGGCTTTATAGGTGAGGAGGAGGATTTTAAATTCCAAATTGTTAACAGGGAGCCAATGCAGAGGAACTAGTACAGGAGAAGATGTGTGATCTCTTTTCCTAGTTTTCCTGTCAGTAAACAGAGGACAGACACATCCTGAATTAAATTGGAGCATCTTAAATGGTCTTAAGGCCACCTGATAATAAAAAAGTTGCAGTAATCCCAGACACAGAAGTAACAAGATGGCCATGGATTAGTTTTCTGGCCATCTGTCTGTGACAAGGAATTGTGTCTTAAATTTTTTGTAATAATTACGTAAATGAAAGAAGGGTCCTAGAGGTCCTGCTTTTATGTGGGAAATTAACATACAAAACGCTGATCAACAGATAACTCCAAGATTCCTGACCAGTGTGCTGAGAGCCAAGATAATGCCCATCTAGAGTAGCTATCCTGTAGACAGTGAGTGCTCTGAGGTTTTGGGGCCGAAGTACAAGAAATTTAGTTTTTTTCCTGAGTTGTAACATGCAGAAAATTGCAGCTCATCCCAGGATTTTGATGTCCTTAAGAACATGTTTGTAGATTTAGAAATAAATTGATTAATTTTCATAGGCTTGATCGATAGATACATAACTGCGTATCATCTGGCATAGCAATGAAAGTTAATGGAGTGATTTCTAATAATGTTGCCTAAAGGGAGCATAAAGTAAATAGTATTGGCAAGAGAATGTGATTGAAGCAGCTCCTTGATGTTAAAACTGATTACAAAAACTCAGATATGTGATACTCAGCTGCCCTGTTAATGTAGCCTCAGTCTCACGTAAATGTAAGCGTTTTGTAAAGAAATCTTGTATAGGAAATTTTCCAAACTAACGCATCTCTAGATTTGCCTTCCTAGACAAGTTTTTAGGTGACAGGTCTTGTGAAATTCCAACTGTCTGCTGGCACAAAACACTATGAGAACCTCAGTTGTTGCTCCTAAGTGGAGCTATATTACTGTAAACCCAGCCACACAAACAGGATATATTTAGCATACTATTTTAGTGAGACAGCCTGGTGACTGCAGGTCTTGAGGAGATACAGTTACTTCTGGAGTCCACATTAAAACAGCAGGCGGTCAATCATGTCGGGCCATTAGTCAAAAAGGATTATGAAGGCGACATAAGTGGTTAACAAGGAGAGTGCACTGATAAAAACACCTTCCTCTCCCACAGCATCCACTGCTGTAATTAGTCACAGTCTACAGTATGTCTCCATAGTGCCAAACATAAATATATGCATATCATTAACATTTAGGTCATATATGTAATATACTGTTGGGAGCTCTGAGGAGTCATGAAAGAACTTGTAAAAGCTATCTGTGTCTCACAGCACAGGATGACGTCTTCTTTAGCAGCTAATAGAGACTCATTCAGACACCTCATTTATCTCCATGAGTCACGATTAAAGGTCCACTCTGCTGATTTTACACATGAAGATCAGTTTACTCATCACGAGGAGTACTATACTCGGCTTATGAAAATAGTTGTGTAATGTCTTCTGTGGCTCTAAGGGGGGCTTTCTGAAAGCTGAGAATGTGAAGGTGCTTTAGGTAACGAGCGGTTGCATGGAGCCCTATTGCAACTGAAGAAATAATTATTTTATTCCCCAATTAATCAATTTTTGTTGGTCGCATCATGCTCGAAAACTCGTCACACAAAATTTGGCTGTGGCGAAAATGTATGCATTATATGGAACACACATATGGACGTGGCAAACAGGCTTGACCACGCCCCCTAAACGCAGCCCCCAAGGCATGTTTTTAATACCGATGCGTATGAAAATCGGTACATGCATGCTGATGAAGACGTGTATCATTCAGGGAACTCAGATGCAGTAAAATAAGCTCATGCATCGTTCCACTCGCTATAGTTTGTTATAAACTTAGCGACAGTGGAGGTAGGTGTGGTTTGCACTCAGCTGCAGGAGAGAGAGAGGTGTGGGGAAGGCTTGTGAGAGCAGCCAGGTGAGTGGATTATCTCAGCTGGTACTCATGGAGTAATCACACTAACCTCTCTTAAGGCAGTAGTGTGCTGGACCTGGAGGCCGACACACATGACACAGAAGACACAACCAGAGCAGACCATCATGGAGTTTTGGAAGCAGGCTAAGTTGTGTGATAATAGTGTGTGTGTCTGACAAAATAATAAAGTTGTCTTGTTCATTAATAGCTGTTGTTGGTCTGTGTGCTGAGAGAACCCTCGGTAGTAGTGAGACTTGCTACAGCGACAAAGAGCCGTGCATTCACATGAGCAACCACTCATTGTCTTAATGACATCATCATGGGGCCCCCGGTTGGCTCACCTGGTAGAGGTGGCGACCATGTACCGAGTCCTTGCTGCAGCAGGGTTCGAATTTAAAAAAAAAAGGCAATGAAAGACCAAAAAAAAGAATAATAATGACATCATCATCAGGGTTATCTCTCTGACTCAGGTTGAGGCTTAACCTGACTGCACCATCTGGGAAGTTCGGAAAAGGGTAAGTCTTTCAAAAAATACTTGGCAGATGACTGGACGAACCATCTGTCTATCACCGTCTATTACAGGACAACTTCAACAAACCATATAACGTAGTCAAACTCTTACTGAAGCCAGTTGGGAGAAACTAACCTGTTAAGCAGCCGCCATTGTTCTTTTGGTCACACAATTGGCATTAATCCATGCAGTAGCTCGTGCTGTAGCTGCCAGTAAGGTTGCTGATTGGTCAGAACCACTGTGGACATAATTTGTAGGACAAAACAATAAGTTCAAAATAACCAATTAAATAAATACATAATAATCACTGTTGGCTGTTGAGATCGTTTATTGCCAAACAACAAAAGTGTAATGCAGCTGTAGAAGTTATTTCTGAGTTAATTAGCCTACATGACCATCTAAATTCAAACAAGGAAGCCAAGAAAGCCGACAGATGCCTGTCATGTCATGTTCATAAATGAGTGGACAAAATAACCTTAACTAATTAGACTTCTTCTGCCTGAAACATAGACCAGTATCAGAAGCAGAATGAGAATTTACTCCACAGCAGTAGCAGAAAGGTCATAACTTGCACCATGTACACTCTAGTGCAGGGTTCTTGAGTGCAGCGCAGCACTTGATCCAAAAAAATGAGCTGTAATTTCAGAGAGGATATGATAGTGCTAACAACTAGCCGAGGTCTTGGGACCTCAGAACCACACTAATCTGTTTCCCATCTGTCACCTTTCATCAGCACAGACAGGGGGCAGAGATATCCATCATGTGCTCTAAACCTCACTCTAAACTGCAATGAGTGTAGGCCCTGTCCATTTGGTACTCCCTGCCTTTCTCTAAATGCATGCTGGGATAGGCTGCAGTCTTCTAGAAGAAATATCTGTACACAAACAGAAATGTAAAAACAATTTGTGGGGGAATATTTTTTCTTGTGGGCGCAGCCTCCTGAGTCTTCTCATCACTGAGGTTGTCAGGTTTGATACCATTGTACCTCAATAAGACCAAAAACTAGTGCTCACTGACTGCTGCAACCAAAACTACAGCCACAGATGCTGCACAGACAACAGTTCAAGCACATAACTCCCTCGAAAACCACAAACTGTTTTTATATTTTTCTTTTTTAATAAAATAGCGAAAAAAAGTTAAAGAAACACTTTTACAGACAAAAGTATTGAAACTGAATTATAACCTAAAAATAAGTAACAGTACATAAAAGGGGATGAAAATGAATAGAGTTGATAATGTTTTTGCAGAGAGCAACAGACACTTTCATTGTATTTTTTATATTTTATAATCTTAAAGGAGCAGTGTGTAAAATTTAGTGGCATTTAGCCATGAAGTTGCAGATTGCAACCATGTGAATACAGTACAGAAACAGTCTTTCAAGCGTGCAGGAGAAACTAGAGTAGCCGTGAAAAAGGCTAAAGGCCCTATTTATAACCAGTGTTTGATTTGTCCAT